GGGGGGGGGGGAGAGGGAGCCACATCCAACGGCCACATCACAAGCCTCCACCAGGAACAAGAGGGCTCTCCATCAGCAGTTTTCAAGACCCTAGCTTGTGGTAGAAGAAAAGGAGACACGCTGTCCAAGGAAAATAGCGTGGAGGCCCACACGTCGTTCGTGTTAGTGGCAGACTGGACTTGGAGGGGTTGATTCTCTCGGTCTCACAAAAGCCCCATGTCCCAGAATAGCCAGAGCAGGCTGTGGAGAAGCGGTGGGGTGACTGTCACATGCAGTTGCTGGCTGATGGGAAGCCACGTGGTCCTCAGAGCAGGACGTGACAATGTACCTGGACCTGCTCTACATACGTGGTGGGTTGTCTTTGGAGATCCTGTCCCCTTGACGAGCTCAACTCATTGTCGGCATGCCCTGGTGTCCTGGTGGACATGCCTGCAGCTGACCGGTGTACCCAGTCCTCTCACCCTTACTGGCCCTCCCCAGCCCAGGCCAGCATTTTCTCAGCCCAGCCCTCTCCACCACCTCCTCACTGCTACGTGGTAGGTACTTGGGCAAAGAACGAATGAACCAATGAATGAACAAATGAGTGAAAACGTGGTTAACTGATGCAGCCAGCCATTGTCTACGTTCCAGGTGGCAGCAACAGGCCCTGGATTGGGGTTCAGACACAACTGACCAACACGGTATTGCCCCTTCCTCTTTTACAAATACCAGAACGGCTAACTGTGGGAAAAGACAGTATTTTCTCAGCTACGCGACATCGATGTGGCAAGGGCTCTCCAGACGCCAGGGAGGGAGCAATCGTTAAGCGTGTGTAACACGTGGGAGGCACACCCCAAAATCAGAAGGTAACGACTGGGGAAAAGAGCGTATCTGAGGGTCTGGCAAAGGCAGTATTTGGATAAATATGGCTGGTGCAATTCCAGCAGGTGTTGGCTAGGGTCTTGCTGGGAACCTGTGGGGGGGAGTGAGAACTCCTCAGTTCTGCCCCCAGAAAAGATGGGAGCATGCACTCCCTTCCCTTTGGCTTCTGTGGCAGAGCATGGGGGCCTCTGGGCAGACAGTCCCCAAAGCTCCTGAGTGCACTTGGGTTGTCAAACTCTCCTCTAAGAGAGACAGGTCAGTCCTATCTCAATAGAAATTGGAAACAAATGATATTTGTGGTGGAACTTGGGACAGCCTCTCCCGTCTCCAGATCTCAGTCCCCTCTCTAGGGAGAAACCAAGGCACAGATCTGGACGCTGCCTCCAGCATGCCATCGACTCTGTGATTTGATGCGTCTAGGACTGCAATGTTCAACCGGTGTGACCTAGAATTTTTACAACATTCAGTGCCTGACTACTTACGGGCACTAACCTCTTTTCTCTTAGATTTTCCAATAAAAAAATAACAGCCCACACAACAATAGCTGTCTGATGTAAATGAGTCAAAATCATACCTATTTTTTTGTCACACCGGCAAAAAAGAGAATATATTTTTTGGTGTGCTGCAGAATTTTAGTAATTAGTTTACGTGCGCCATGAGATGAAAAAGGTTGAACTCTCTGGTCCAGGAAAGAGTTCCTCACGAAAGAAGCAGCCCTTTCTGGGTCCCACAGCACACAGTGTTCCCACTTACAGGACACATGGGGGCTGGTGCTTTTCTGGAGGGCTCCTTGCCTGGCTGAGTGACCCAGCTGGCTCTGTGCCCCCCGCTGTCGTAATTCTGCAAGAAGTCCTGCTCCCTCATGCCTCTGCACTTTTGCACAACTGGTGTCCCCTATGTGGAATGCCCTCCCCCATCCTGTGGGTGGGTCAACTCCTTACTCACTGTCAAGCCTCTGCTTANGTAATTCTGCAAGAAGTCCTGCTCCCTCATGCC